GCAAGAGAAGGAGAGGTGGGAAGCATTTGTTCCTTCAGCCTCGCCTCGGGTACAAGGCTGACGATAAATCTCCGACCTGCCGAGTGGACCACTTGTGCAGATGGACTGGGTGGGATGCCTAAAAAAGGCAGAAGAGTGAGACACGGCCTGGATATGGTATGACATGTTCTGTTGCAGGTTTTCAGGCTAAAAAAAAGATGTTTACAAAAGTGTATTTATTGATTTCCATTCAGAAATTCAAGGGCATTCAGAAGGTCTGAAGGTCCGTGCCGCTCAATAAACCTGGTCTCAGATTTATTTTATTTTAAGGCTTTTTCTTTCGTCTTTTTTTTTTTTTTACCTTGCATGGGGGCAGATATTGCAGGATTCTGCTGTTCCGTGTTACCTGCCATCTGCAGATCAACAAGAGAGCATGCATTAAACAATGACAGTTGGTCTGTTAGAGGCAAAGGTAGAGATGACCAGTAAGTTTAGACACACCATAGATAGGCTATAAAAATTCAAAAGCAGCAGCAGTGAATAAAATAAAGACTCACTGTTTTCTTTGTCTGGCTGTTGGCATCTCTTTCCAGACCCTTCGCATCAGCGTTCTCTATCACCTCTCTGACCTGTTCAATAAATGACTCTCTCTCGCTCTCCAGGATAAACTCACTCTCGACCTGCATGCATGTTGAAAAGGTCACGCTTAGTCACACGCTTATGAATTTGTAATATTATCAGTCACAAACAGCAATATTTCTTTATATAAGCCTTCTTCCTAGATGAGTGTGAGGTAACATACGAGTAGTTTTGCCTCGTGTGAGAGTCTGATGAGAACTCTCCATGAAAGTGCAAGGACTAGAGCATGTACTTCAGTGGTTTTGGATGACGCAGAGCAGATAGCAGGCGTGCCGGCACGTAAAAGCAATCCAACCATAATACAGAGCTATTAATAGGGATTTACAGTCAGTATAACGTGAATGTTGGATGGCTGAAGCTGACGAGCCAACATTCGCTCATATTCAAAGTAGTAACTGGTCAGCTGTGAGGAAATATTGTTTAATATCCACTCTGGTAACTGTGTGCTGTTGAAACATGCAATTCCACTGACGGGTCATACAAAGTAATATAGTCATTTTTAATAGATTGCAACGTCAGAATTAAATTTATTTAATTAAAAAAGCTAATGACAAACTTGCTCTCCACCTGGGCTGTTTACATGCATGCAGTCTGCTCAAAAGTAAAAACTTAGACTATATGAAATCCTTCAGAACTTAATTCATATACAGAATTTTAGAACAACTATAATTTGGAGCAAGTGGAAATGAATCAAAACAGTGGATGTGAGTGGTTGTGTGATATTGTGTGCACCATGATCTGGGCAATTTCCTCAGGGTTGTCTCCATCCAAGTCAAACCTAAAGGTCACCATCTTCCTGTTGTGGGTCTCCAGCTGACACTCCGCTACCCTGTCTCCAAGGTTGGAGATCTACATGCAAGCACATCAAGAAATACATACACAGAAAGAAAAGATAATGAATGGAAATAAATAACTTTACTGTAAGTGACACATTTCTAACAACCATGAAATAGATACTTGGTGCAGTAGAAAACAGGGCCTGTTTTTAATTTTGACCTCACAGGACTTATCGGGTGTGCGCTATTACATTGAGAACATTGAGTTTCGCCTTGGTCGTCTTCTCATGGTGTGATCGACTTCGCACTGAACGTCTCTGGTGTCGCTTGGCCGGGCGCCCTTCATGACGACCTCCTCCTCCTCCCTCGTTGCCGTCGCTCAATCCTGAAGTCTCAGAATGGCCACTGAGGTACAACATAAGCAAAACACAGTAAGAGAGAAAGACCGAAAAAGAGCACTGAGTGAGAGAAAGATGTCACAAAGCTTAAAAGTCATTCAGAGAAATTGCCTTGATTTCAGGGAAGAGTAACTGTGTGTGTGTACGTGCAAGTATTACCTCTCTATGAATGAGAGAACTTGAGGCGGCTGTAGCTGGGACTGAGGTAACTCTGAAGATTGTGAGGCAGGCTGAAACACACATATACACACAGATATATGCATGAAACTACGCATGACACACACGGGTGTGGTGTCACCACAAACATCAGGAACACTGAAGGGAGGGAAAAATAGCAGGAAGTTATAACAGTTAACACGGGTGTAAAAACAGAAGCAAATGCTAGCTAGATTATAAGAAAAGTAATTTTCAGAAGTTCAAGTAAATCCTGAGAATGTCAAAAACAGAATATGGAACAAGGATGGAATCAACTGTATCCTTTAAATTAGAACTTTATTCAAACTTGTGAAAAACCAAGTCCACACTTACACCTTTCAAAGAATGATTAGGTTAAGTAGCAGCCAGGTGCTGCTAATCAAATGGACTTGATGAACTGATCATCAGCCAGTGTTCAACTGGAGCATTCAGGTGTCCCACTACCCCGCCTC